CGGTCCCTGTGCTTTGCTTAGCTTAGCTTGTTCTAAGTAGGTGCTTTAGACCACTGAGCCATCTCACCAGCCCCGTGGTTGTTTTTTATGTCTAAATCTTTGATCCACCCAGACACTGTTTCCGATTTGGATGTGCACTGCAGCTCCAGCTTTGCTCCCCTCTGCAGGTGTCACCTGGTTGGCCCAACACCCTCCCTTCATAAGCCAGCATTTCCTTAGTAACTGGAAAAGCAAGCTCCATCTTAGATTCAATCCCTCTTACACAGGTAGACTTCATAGTTTTCGATGTCTTTGTCTTCCGCCTCCTCTACCCCTACTTTCACACATATTTTTTCTAGAAAGTACGCTACATCCGCTGAATATACCTAGCTCATCGTGCAAGAGCCCAGCTAGACAAAGTCTTCAGTTCATTATTGACCTAACAGTGACCGTTTTTCCACTGTACAAGTCACAGACTCTTTGTGTATGGGGACAAGGGGCAGCCTATGCCCACATAATGCCTTCTTTTTACCTTGGGACAATGGCTTCCTCTACAGTCTGAGAAAATTACTGCAGGGCCTGCCTGAGAACCCGGGGTTAATTGTATAGATTGGAGCCCAGGCTTGTATATATTAAGTACACTCTCAGGTTACTGGAGTAGGAAAGGCTGAGGATTTTTGTTTTTATGTTTTTACTTCACACTTTCCAGCACCTCTTTGCCTTAGCTTTGTCCTGCGTTCCTTAGGCAGTACACCTTGGCAACAAAGGAAGAGTGTTACCGGATGTGTATCGCCATTGTCATGGGACCTGGTTTGCTAACTTGCAGGGGAGCAAAACTGTTGCTTCGCAATAGGCCAATAAAATACTGGCATTTAAGCAATATGTTCATCAGGTTAGATAGGTGTTTAGATTTTAAAACCCCTGTCTTAAGCCAAATGATGTACAGATTTAGAGTGTCATGCTCTTTCACCATAGGTTAGACAACTTGCAAAAGACATAAAAGTCTTGTCCTTCAGCTTTAGGGTTTACTCTAATTCTATATTTCTGAAATTATGAGAGTAACCTGATTTGTAGGGGTTTTTTTCTAAAGATTGGATCCAGAGATTGCTGAGCTGCGTTCTTAGCTCTTTTTCAAAAATTTCCTGTTCAGACAGAGCCTCCATGGATTACCCAATCTGGTCTCAAATGCTCTCTAGCCTGAGACACCCTAGTGGGTGGGATGACAGATGCGCCCACCATGCTCACTTTAATGTAAGGTCTTGGCCAGGTTTTGAATTACACTTGGCTTTGGTTTCTGCTGTGTACTTCTTGAAATAATCCCATAGATTTGAATGCACTTTTGCCCTATACAGGAAAATAAAATTGGTATCATACATGTATGACTGGAATTTAAATCATGAATCACTGTTTTTTTTTAATTTAATGACATTGGATATTGTACTACTGAGTTAACACCCATAGATTTTACTTCTGAAATATATAATTCTTAAAAGAACATAAAATAAAGTTAATTTCATTGCTTTTTTAAAAAAGGAATGGATGGTCAAGTGGCAAAATACCTTGAAATAAAGGAAAGCCTAAGGTTACCCCAAAAGGAACAATTAGGTCATCCTGCCTCACAGGAATGAGTGGACAGCAGTGACCGTGGGGAGTAGAAGCAAGCATTCCTGCGGGCTGTCTTTTCCACCACAGCTTACTGCACCTGACCTCACCTGCAGGGCCACATAGTCCCACCCCAAAAATCAAGAGAAGCTTCTGGATTTTTTTCTTTCAAAAACATTAGTCAAACACCCTACAGATTCATTCATATGCTTCTAGGATCTGGAAATGTGTGTTTTTTTTCTTAAAATTACTCTTTAAGTCATCTGCTATTAAGACTTTTTTTAAAAAGTAGAAACAACTTAAATTTCGATCTTTCATTGCTTCTGAATATTATGTGCATTTTAATTCATGGATCCCTCCATTACCGTTAGGGCCTCACACCAAAAGCCTTTTGGGCACTATGTACATGCTTTAACTGCACATCATGTCTTCACTTGCACTTCCTTTGACACCGCAGTGCTCTATGTCCTGTAGCAATGTTACACCGCAAGCAGCAGACAGCAGTAAGCAGAACGAAGGCAAGGCAGGAGCTGGCTGGCAGTGTCAATGCAAATAGCAGCTGTTCTGCTCAAAGTGTTTCAAAACTACCACACAGCGAGAGCTTTGCATAAAATGGGACAAGCCCTCAAGAGCCAGGTTTTAGCACAAAATTCAAGAGGCACATTGCCACCCTTCTGTTTGTGCTGATATGTATGCAGCAGTCTCTGTTAAAGTGGTATCTAAATCTTCTTCCACGTGAACAGTGCAATGAGTGGCTCTCCAGAAGGATGACACTGCTGGTGCCGTTTCTGTGTCAGTCTCAAGTCATTTGGAGTCCTAGGATCCCCAGGGGTTATTCCCTGGTTATTTTGTGGGCCAAACTTTGACAGTATTACCTCCGAATTTAAAATTTCTCAAATGGGCTTCTGTTAACATTTTTCTAGCCAAAGTGTACATCCTAGATGGCATTGTAATGTCCTTCTAAAGCAAACCTTAGTGTCACTTTTCTGCAAAATATTCATCCATTTCCTTTCCTAGATGGTTAGGTTACAAAACTGCTGGCAATACCTGTGGGTAACAGAAATTTAGCATACAATATTTGCACAAATGCAAGAGCCTATGCTGGATAGTTAAGACTTTGACACACTGAAAATTCAAAGCAAGACGCCAGCTACCACCGCACATGTTACAGCCCTCCACCTCAGTGTGCAGGTGTTCTTTCCGGATACAAGGACTGAGGCCAAGAAAGCTCTTATTTCATCATTAGGCATAAATCATTCAAACGGGCTCGGGAAGAACATCCGGGTAGAGCATGTGTCCAGCATGCAGGAAGCCCTGGGGTCCATTCTCAGCATGGAAAAAAATATTGCAAACTGTCAATAGAGTTCTCAGTCTTGTTTCTTCTTTTGTCTAAATATATATCAGGCTAAATATTTAAAGTTACAAGAAATAGGGGAAAAAAGGCTATAAACAAATATTGAATCACAGTTGTTGCTATGAATACTGAAGCTTTTCAGGAAGTGCATAGTGAGATGTCCACGTTCCCCTGAAATGCATGCAAACTAATATGAATTGGGGACGGGGAGACAGGAAGGGGGGGAGGTGACAAGGCCAGATTACAATAAATATTACGGATGAACATGTATTTGCTATTGTGAAACTGTTTCCACACTTCTCTATGTTTGAAATCTTTCATTAAAATGCATCTGGAAAAAGTCCATAGGAACTAATTTATACATTTTGTCCCTTAGATTTTTTTTCTTTTTTTTTTTTTTTTTTTTTTTTTTTTGTAGAAAGGCAAAAGTAAGCGAAGAGAGAAATACCCTCAGGATTTCTAAGCTTTAGAATACCCTGAAAGTCTTCCTGCTTTCTGTAGTTAATGTGATTCTTTGTAAATATGACTTTTCTAATCTGAAAGCCTAATAATTCATTTTTCTAGAAGAAAATATTATCTTCGTTGAGGATATTTTGTTGCTGTCAACTAGCCTGCTTTTATACATGTTTTGTATATCTTACCAATATTTGCTCATTTTCTTTGATACTATTAACTTTTTCTAGTCATTTCAGGTATAATTAATTAGTTGAGTACTCTGTTATTCTTTGTGTATAAAATGAGATCAAATCCCATCAACTTTTAGAATGTTATTTGAACAATCATCAAACAAAGTTCTCACGATTTTGTCATCATACCAGTTTGCTTCCTGTTTCTTCCTGGCAAATTTGATGAACTGTGTGAGGGTTGCATCACCCATCCATATGGGCCACTTAGTCGCCTTTGAACTTCTGAAAACTATTGTAACCTACATTTGATACTGTGACACTATATCCCATATGTATACTGCTACTATGATATAAAAACATGCCCAGATTATGGCATATATTAAATTATATCAACTTTTATATATTTATATTTCATATACTATTGATACCTAAAATTGTATTATTATTATATTAAAACACAAGGTGCCTCTCGCATCCCATGATTGCTGAAACCCTGCTGTCTCCCTGGAGACAGTCATCTCTGTGGCTCTGTTGTTCTCACCTAGCACTGTGCTTCAAACAAAGCCAGTGCTTAGTATCTGCACAGTAAAAAGTCTCTTGTGGTGCTTGACCACTGAGCCACATTGCCAGCCCTCACTATCTTCATAAAAATTTAGAGATAAGGTCTCGTCAGTGTGCCCAGGCTGTGAAGCTCTTGCCTCAGCCTCCTAAATTACTGGGGTCATAGCCTTGTACCACCACACCTAGCTTGATTTAGCTTTAAAAATACCTACAATTGATTTTTTAGATTTATGTCTGTCATGCAATCTTATTTTCTTCATTAGACATTTTTACCTCATTTCTCAAAAATGTATTTGGATTTGAGAGTTTATAAAGCAATATATTATTTATTGTTTTGTGAAATAAAAGTGCTATTATTTTATTGTGCTTAAACATTATACATAGTACTAAAACACACTGAAGTCTTCAGAAAGCATGATAATCCTATTTATAATCACAAAATACATTATAGCAAGGGGGTGTCATGAAATTGATTTCATGCATTTAGTTCGCCTTCCAACGTGCCCCCTGACTTTATAAAGTTGTTTAGCGTTTAGACTAAGCATTATGAATAGTATCTTTGGACATCAACAAAATAGCGCAGCTGTACAGAGCTCAGCAGGTTACAGGTTAAAGAGCAGTAAAATGATATGTCTGTGAGGATTTTTCCTTTGGGAATAAATGTGCAGCACCTTGGAATCCAGCCTAGTCTAGCAACCTGAGAATTACTGCAAGAAAGAAACGGTACACTTAGCTTTCTTCACTGACCAAAAAGTCGTTTCCGTGGATTCTTTAGGATAAATAGGAAAAATGATCCCTCTGTCCACAACCAGGAATGACAAAGTTAAGATACTACATTACAAGTCGGAGAAAACCTGACCCCTGCTTTCTGCCCACAGGGGAGGCCTTGCACTTGGCCCGGGACTTCGGCTACACGTGTGAAACAGAGTTTCCTGCCAAAGCGGTAGGAGAGCACCTCGCCCGACAGCACATGGACCAGAAGGAGCAGACAGCAAGGAAGAAGATGATCCTCGCAACCAAGTAAGTGGCCGCAGAGCCTCCACGCAGCTCCACCCTCGGTGTTTGCATTTTCCCTGAATGGGGGAAACAGTGGAGAAACCACTGATTCTCTAAAAGAACAGAACCCAGCAAAATACTCCAAAAGAGTCCAGTGGTCCACAGTGCTATTGGGTCTTCTGCTTGACTAGCAATGTCAGAAATTGTTGACCTGAGTCCCCTACCTATAATATTCAAATGGTACTGGACAGAAAAGGGGATACAGATGAATGTCCATTTTGTATCTGTGTATTCAAAGTGGTTAGGATAGATATATAGTTACATTCTCTTAATGAATACAGGGATTTGTTCTAATGGTGTTTGTAAATAGGATATCATGTCTGCATCTTGTACAGCAAATAACCACTGGGAAGAGAGTATGCAATGTGTTAATTATTGAAAGTGTCCTACCAATTTGATTTGAAATTGTCTCATTGCTATTTATTTCTCAATAAAATTATGGAAAAATAAATAAATAAAATGAAAAATAAAAGGACAGAACCCCACCCTCGCAGCTAAGTGTCCTGAGCAAGACTATCCCTCTTCTACAGTCAAGACAAAGCTTACAAATGGCCCTTGATTCATGAATAGGCTGTTTATAAAAGGATAGTTCTTAGGAAAGCTTTTCATAGTAAGAAATTCCAAGGAGAAAAAAACTGTTTAGGAAATAGAGACTCCAGAGGACGTGCCTGAGGGGCCAAGTAATGTAGACTAAGGCACTCTGCCCCTCCACATAGCACAAAGGTCTCAGAGCACCGTGGCGATGTGGCAACGCTGAGGCCCCACGAGAGGAAAGTTCACGGGGCGGGGGTGGGCCCTCTGGGACTGGAGATGGAAGCTCGAAGCTCGCCATCACTGTCCTCACTTGCTCTTGTGAGCCATAAGCAAATCATCCTCACATGGCCTTACCTCCCCCATGGTGATACTCTTTAAAAGAAGTTCTAACAATTATTGAAAGCTGAAGTACAATTCAAACAAAATGACAAGGGAAATAACGTAGGCAAATGCGTCAGGTCAGGAGAAAAGGGACGACTGCATGAGGAGGCTTCTGCATTCTGCAGACCTGGATGTCCTTTAACAATTTACAGAAAAGTGCCCCATTATCGGGAGAAAACTCAGCATCACCATTATGCCCCTTCGAGCTGCACTTAAAGGCTTTAGCGGAAATTCCTTCATGTGATACACCTTCTTCTTCCAGTGATCTGTTCCTCACTGAAATGTTACTGCTACAGACAGGCCACTAATAATCTTTTTTTTTTTTTTTTTGCCACTAATAATCTTAAGCAATTTTCTATTATATTCAGGCTTTAAAAGTGGTAGTTCCAGGTGATTAGATTATCATTTTCAAGTTATTTAGAAAAAACTCATTAAGAGAAACTATTCAAAAAAAAATTTTTTTTCGGAACCAGGGATTGAACTCAGATCCTTGCGTTTGCCAGTCAAGCGCTTATCCTACTGCGCCATCTCCCTGGCCCCTCAAAATTTTTTTAAATTGAAAAATGTTTCTTTAGAAACTGATGCAAAAATAATTATCTGCCAAGCTTATAACATGCATAAATTTAAACTGGCTTAAAAAAATAAAATAAAATAAACTGGCTAAAACCTCATCTATTCAAAACTGAATAGTCCAGCTGGGCTTGGTGGTTGCTCGCCTGCAATCCCAGCGTTTGGGAGGCTGAGGCAGGAAGATCATTGAGAGTTCAAGCCCAGGCTGGGCTACAAGTGAGCTCCAAGCCAGCCAGAACTGTATAGCAAGAACCTGTCTCAAAATGACAAACAAACTCTGAATATTAATTTTTTGCCAGTTTCTAAGGTTACATAGACATGATAGCAGATTCAATGGCCTGTGCAGGACATGGGCCATCTAGCAGGCTTGCCCAGGAGACCCGAGTCTCCCACCCAGGTTGGTGACCTGCTTGTGGTCTCTAGTTTGAGCTTTTTGGTTATATGTGTGTGGTGCTCCTCTAAAAGTACTAGAAAATTATGGCAGAAGAGAAGAGAAAGGCAAAATGAAACGAAGAGGAAACAAACAGAGAAAAAAGAGTGGAGACCAAGAGACAGAGAAAGCAAATTATGTCAGCTATATGGCTTGAAATTTGGCAGTAAACATGATGCTGCGGGAGTACCTGCAAACTCCCCAGTTGAAAGACATGGAAGTCTGGCCCTCAGGAGCCATCTCATCTTCTGGGGCTCTTTGCTCTTGTACTTTACGCTGTTCTTTCAAGGCGTTTCACATCCCAGAAGACTTCATCTGTCATGTTTTGGCTTCTCCAGAAGGAATTCAAAATACTTATAGGGAACTAAAAGCACTTGTAGTTGGTTAATCTGAATCACTAATGTAATCTCGGGAGAAAGCTAAAGACTTTGCTACAGATGGAGGGAATTCTTCAGTACTAGAAGCTGGACAGAATCCCCAGGTGACCCCAAAGCAGGACAGGCTTGCGCAGGGTCAGGCAGAGCCCTCACCCCAAGCCACACCTCTGGTGCTGTGCTTATCCCAAAGCACAAGGTGCCCCAGGGAAAGTGCTTTCGCATTTTCGGATTTGAAAAGAATTACAGGTGTGTGTGTGTGTGTGCACATGCGTGCGCATGCACAATCATGCCTGACTGTGACGTGTATCATTTTGAACTTTTATTTCACAAAACATTGGGAGTACATGGAATTTCTTTTGACCCCTTTGTACACAGACATTTATGCATTAGTCTTGCATTTAATTTATTTTATAGTTTAGTAAATGAGCATAATCATTCAGAAATTATGATATCTTCATAATTTTTATCATTGTTTTTACATGTATCCCATCTTCTTATTAGCTACTATATAACTAAAATTAAAGAACCAGAAACTATGCAATCTTAGCCAACAGATACAATACAACAGGCAATCAGTATACATAGATATTAAGGAGCAGATAGGGTCCACCTGTCTTTTTTTTGCAACATATAAACCAATGCAATATGTGTTTTGAGCAGTTTCCAATTTTCCGCTTAGAGGAAAGCAATGGTTATTTTCATCAGTTAAAGTAGTCAAATTTGGCATTAAGTGCCCAACATAATCGTCATATTTTCTTAAGCTCATCTTTCTTCTGAAGACCTCAATTTGGTAAAAATATATATGAAATCTAAAATTGACTGAGTGAGAGACCCAGTTTCTGACTGGCATTGTCAGGAGACATGGCCACCATATTTATTTTCAACCTTGAGTTAGTAACAGATCTAGTTCAACTTCAATAGCAAATAAAGGGCTCACTGATTAATTGCCATTGGTCATCTGCTTCTGTATCACTAAAACTTTATGATGAACCAACGATTAGGAGTAATTTAGATAATTAGATAGAAACTGAGACAATTATCGAATTCTAAAACTGTACCATGTGTATCACACAAAATATTTATTTAGGTACTGGAAAACATGAGCAAACTCTTAGATTGATTTTAAGATTAAGTATGGTTGACATGTAATGTACACTAAATTAGAACAGATAATAATGTTCAGTTGAATATAACAATAATAGTTACCAGTAGGAGATGCACTAAAGTCTAAGTCCAGAAATCAGCTAAAAACTTACGTCTTTAAGGACAATGATGTAAGTGATAAAGTCGGGAGGTATGATTCATCAACCATCATGTCCTATTACATAACTCACAAGTATGACATTTTGTTTTGGACTCGACAGCATTTTCTGTTATGCCTTTACAAGTAAAAGTGTAAATAAGAATGACGCTACTCATAAAAATAGAACTTAGATTCTGTTGTAGAAATAGAGATAACCACCCATGGGGAGCTAAGGGTCTTCGTCTGGGCTTTAGCTGAGAGCTATTCTTCCCAGAGCATGAAACAACACAAGGACCACCAAAGGCAGAGAATTCGGTGTTGCTCCTGTTTCCAAATAGAGCTGTGTGTCTGGTGTGGTTGATTTATTATTGTGAGTGAAATTTTTCACACTTTGTCTTTCCCTCATGTCTTCATCAATCTCATTATAAGTTGCTATACTTTTTATACAAGAAAAAATTCCCTTGTCAACTTATAAGTAGTTTATTCAGTAGTCTAACTAATTCCGACGTTATACCACAAGAACTACAGCAATGTTTTATCTTTAGTTTTTTGAAAGTTTATTTGATTGATTAATGACTAGTTGAGGGTCACACCATATAATCTTGGCTGGCCTCGCACTAAATGCAATTCTCCTTTCTCAGCCTCCCATGTGCTGGGATTACAGGTGTGCCACCATGCGCAGCTAAAGTTTCTTTTAATCTGAGAGAAAATTAAGACTGATTTCTGTGAGCATGGATGGGTTTTAGTGATAGGCTATTACACAGAAATTCATGTTGCTAGTCATAAAAATGATAGCATGAGGCAATTAAGTATCTGGAAACAAAGAGAACAGTCTATCATAGTCCTTAGATAACATAGAACATAAAAAATCATGGGCCGGCCAAATAGCTCAGCAGATTAAAGCACGTGCAAGCAGGTGCAGGTTCAGGGGTTCAATCCCGGGCCTGCCATGCTGGCCCCGCCCCTGGGGTGCACTGAGATGACAATCTCACCAGCTCTCGGGAGGCTGTAAAGAGGCGGATCACTACGACTCTGATCTAGTAGTGAAACCTTGAACACCCTGTAGACCCTTCCCTAAAATGCAAACGAAAACCAAAAGACCATAGCAAATCACGACGTTTCACAAACTGGCATCAAATATATCAGAAAAGTCACATTCTGATACCAAAATGTTGCAATTCATCTGGAAGCTGGCCTGCTGAGAACAGACACAAGCTCAGAGCAAATATTCTAGGTGGAAGTAAACACATACCTTTGTTAAAATCATGCATGTAGATGCCGCATCTCAGAGACAAACCAAAACACTACTGGGAGATATGAGGGGTTCTACTCTATTTAAACTTATAGGGACTTTGCTTACCCTAAGGCCCTGCTTCATTTCCACCTGTCTTCTGTAAAAGACAAATAAGCCAAGTTCTGTGAAATGATAGAATCACTTCACTATATATCACAAAGACTTAGGAACTGGCAATAAACCAGAGGCTCAGTATCCACAGAAAAAGAAAATGAAAGATCTTTGGCAGAATCAAATAAATTTTATTTTCATTTTATATTAATTTTATTAAGAAAGAAGTGGCAATGAGACAGTTTCAAAACAGCTTAGTAGGACAGTTACAATAGTTAATACATTGCATATTGTTGTCTTTGTAGTAGTTATTCACAGTACAAGATGCAGACATGATCTCTTGTCTAAACACTATTAGTTCAAACTTTTTTCTCATTGAACTAAGAGCAAGTTGCTATATATCTATGGTTAACTATTTTGTATATACAGATGTATATTTTTGTTTCCACTATAAAATGGTCCATTTATATCCCCTTTTTTGTTTACTGTTCTCAGGGATGGATATTCCACTGCCATTCATATATTATAGGTGCATGAACTCCTCAAAGTAATCCAATATAGTCCAGCAGTCTATATCACATAAATTTTAGATATCTAATATCTTCTCTGATTTAAATTCCATCATAAAGTATTCATACTTCAAGTTATTTTGTCACTTTTTGATAGTCATTTGTTAATGACACAAATACTTTGCAGGAGAACTGTGGCCAGGCAACATTTGCCTGGGATAATTTAACCCTTTGGTACTTGCTGATAACTATAACCAGGATAGTACCATTATAATTTGTGCTGACCCATCGTATAGAAAAATAAAACCCTACTAACTACCATATTGTCTGTTGAACCTGGAGTGGCTTTGCTAAGAATCATGTGTGCTTTTGAGCAGATTTTTGATAGTGTTTGACTTCACTCTCCTGCTGTATTTTAGTTTAGTGGTTTGTTGTTTTTCTTTAAAAATGTCATATGCACTATGTGTCACAAAGACTTTACTTTTATTCAACACATGACAATGCTACTAACTAAACTAAAACCAATACTCAGAAATCCACCATTTAAAGCAAGAAAAGGGGCCAGGGATACAGCTCAGCAGCTCAGCACCTGCCTTGCAAATGCAAGGTCAGGAGTTCAATTTTTGGCACCTCCCAAAAAAAGAGCGAAAGAGAAAGAGATGTTGAGCCGCGTGTCTGTGCTCAGCATGTTTCAGAATTTCATAAAGCAAGAAAAGCCACAGAACACAAACTTGAGTCTTCTGTGCAAGAGATCAGCATGCAATGGAAAATAATATTGAGTTTTTGTGAGATTAACTTTGGGTAAGAAATGATCTGCTTCAAAGATTTATTTTTAAATGAGTATGTATCTGTGCTACAGAATGCATTTATCCCGAGGGCTTGGCACGAGCACACATCACACGCTTTCCACGTCTCCTTTCCAGCCATTTGCTCCCCTTCCCCTTCCCCCCCATCCCCATGCGTAAGTTCTACCTCTCTGTGTTTATGTCAAATATTAAAATATGGGACCAGGGAGATAGCTCAGCGGCATAACCACCTGCCTGGCAAGGGCAAGGTCCTGAGTTTAATCCCCACTACTGCCAAAAAACAAAACAAAACAAAACAAAAAAACCTCACAAATATTAAAATACAAAATTAGTCTGTAATTATAATGCCATATTAAGAATTTTTCAAATCA